TTCAGCGCAGCAGTCGTAGACACCATACTAGTCATCGCAGTGGAAGTAGTATTCAAGAGCAAAGTCGTAGACATGGCGCTGCTCATTGCTGTTGACGTAGCAATCGACTCTGCGGAGGACGGAACAACGTCGCTGGCGAATATGAAGGTGACGTTTGGCATCAAAGTGGGAGCCGCGGCCATCTCACTAGCAATGCTCGCTGTAGTCTTCGCTGTAGTGTCTGCAATTGGCGTTCCAGATACGGTCGCGCTGAACAAAGATGTCATGTTGGCTTCTAGCTTCGGCGCCGCGGTCATGTTGGCTTCCAGCTTCGGAGGCACGGATGTAGCTTCAACCATCATCGGCGGAGGTGGAGGCACGATAACGCCTGTAACGTTGTCGAAAGCATTCTCAGGCGCTGCGCAGCCGGATAGTAGAGGAAAGACTGCTGTGAAAATGTTCTCCTGGACACCAACTGCGTTGAAAGGTGGTGGAAGGATTGGTATCGAAACATCGAGAGCGATATCGATTGAAAGGGAAACATTTGCTTCGACCAAAGCAAGAGGGCCCAGGCTGAGAAGTTCGGGGGGAAATTCTGTTGTTTGGTTGGCGAATGGCGCACCCGGTTGCGTAGCATTGCTGCTGTTGCTGGCACCACAGTTCTCCGGAATGTTGCTCGACAACTTCGCGTCCAGACGGGGTAGATTCAAAGATGGGGTGACTTCAGCCTTCAGCTGATCCAGAAAGTCGAAACCAATCGGTATGGCAGGGACGAACGCGAGACCAAGCAAGATCTCTGCGTCAGTTATGTTAACGTTGACGGGCAGCGGAGTGAGACTAGTTTCCTGGAAGCCAGTAACGCGGCTGCTGGCAAGATCAGCAAGCTCCACTCGGATACTGGAACCATCAGGAACCTGAGAGCGTTAGTATTTCAATAACAACCATGTGGTAAGATATGTACCGTAAGCTGGAGTCCGTAGTTGACTTCAAGTGTACCGCTGATGTTAAAGTCAAAGGCGAGCCTGGGCTCAAAGATCGCTCCAGCCTTGCCAATACCCGGAATTGTAAAACCAGCAATAGGAAGTTGGAATAAGGCGACCTCAAACTTCCCAGAGCTGGGCGGTCTCGCGAACAAGTCCAGTGTTGCACCAACACCAGTAGCCACAAGCTCTACGAAACCACCACTGATGACGTGCGAAATCTCTTTGCCGTCGTCACCGCCTTCGAAGATGTCCGGAATGAGGTCGATTTGGGAAAGATCGATGTTGAAGGCACCCTGTGAGAGGGCGATTTGCCCACTTGTCGCGCATCGCTTGCACCCAATCTCGATCGGCAACGGTACATCAGGTGCTCCAACAAGGCCAGCAATACCCGATAGGAAAGCTTCGACCGGGAAAGTGGTGTCGAGAAGCTCCGACGATAGGTCAAAGGAGACAGTGTTGACATCGTCGGGAGTGTCTGCCGGTATGTCGACCTTGTTCTGTCGCTTGTTACGAATCCTGGCGAAGTCGGAGTGGCGTCGGTAAATGTGATCGTCTGTGGTGTGGCCGAACGATATGTCGACATGATCAAACGCTGCTCGCCATGTTGTCTTTGAGACGGATAGCTCAAGGGCTTCACCGTCCTCAGCGAACGACACGTCATTGACCCTGTGATCGTCAGATGAAATCACCGAAACGCCCGTGAGAAGCTTACCGATATACTGATCGCTCGCCGTCATCATTACAGCCCTCGTGGGATGTGATGATCAAACCACCATCCGCGTCATGACAGGCCGCTCGGGCGTCTCGTGCTGAAGAAGTATCCACAAAGTGTAGCTTCATCGTGTCATCCCCACATTGCACATCCTTGAGGTGATGTTCATGCTCTTCCAAGTTGAACAGTGGTCTCTGCCCGCTGACTTTGACCTGCGAAGCAAATGTAGACTCGTCATTCCAGACGTTCTCATCTAGCGTATCGTCAGTATTGGTACAATCTCGTGGCTGCTACAACATACTGTCCACATAGGCCAACTCAGATTCGAATCTCTTGGTGATCCTCACGCCCCTCCGATAGAGATCTGTTCGTTTTGTAGCTGCTCGCAGCAGCCGATGCGTCTCAAGGTCACCACCTGAGATCGCGGCAACGTCCGCGCTGAAGTATGCGATTAAGAGAACGGCAAATGCGCCGCGTAGGCTGGAAAAATGCATGTCGCGCGCGTATTAACCGGAAGAGAAGAGTTAAAGAAACGTTCGTGCTCTTGTGAGGACCAAGCAGCGTACGAACGACAACCCGATTATTAAAAGAATGTAAAGAAAACGAGCGAATGTAAAGAGCGTATACCTCACTTCGAAAAGGAATCTCGCCAGCGAGTGTAGACGACAAAGATATATAGAAAAGAGCCCACACACGAAGAGAATCCACACGCACCGAGAAGGAAACGGAAGATACCTACCCCTACGAAGATCGGACGAGAACCAAGCCTAATAGAAAGCCCGACTCATTGCGAACCCCAGCACAGCCAAGCCAACAGGCTGTGGAGATCATACACTGCACGGTACCTGCATTTTTTTGGCACTGCACAGGTTGTCTTTCGCAGCGAGGGCTGCACCACGCGTGGTAAGGCCCAAGATCCTCGGCCCGTGGTTCGCGTCGCATGTTCACGTGTGTGGTCTAGTCTATCGCGACCGTGGCGTGAATGGCATGCGCTACAGCTGTCATAGGTCCGTCAGTTCATAAGACAGCGGAGTAATGGTACGGGGGTGGGTTCTCAAACGGGGATTGTGTGAGAAAGGGTTCTGTTTGCCTCAGGTTCTTGTCCAAGCAGGTGGGGCGGCCTAGTGTCGCTAGCGCTGCACTATTCTGCTTTTCATCTCTTGCTGCGACAACCCCTGAGGCTTTTCTATCGGTATCTTCAATTGCAGGACTTTCGGGACTTCCGGCAGGTAAAAAGGGCCTTTGGTGTATTGGTAAGGGCTTCAGAAAGGTAAAGTTATGCCGAGTGGTGTATTGGATGCTTTCAGACAAGTAAGGTGCATAGCACGAAGGAGCTCGTCGACGTGGGATTTGACTCTTCTTCATGAGTAGCGCACGATGAATCCACTGAAGGATTAAATGCTGTGTACCATAAGCCCGAAAAAGCCCCAAAGGTGCCCAGATGGTGGCGCAGGCTTTAGGCATTAGCCTTGGCCTTTGCTGCATCTCGAGAACGCTGACATGTGTAGCACCGTCCACAATACCATCAATTATCCTCTCGTGCTTTCGACCCGCCCCACAGAATGCCGCCGTCTGGAGATCTGTATGCCGATGTACCGCTCAATCTCGGAAAGAAGAACATCAGGCTGGTGACCCTGCAGCCCGGCGACGCGTCGGAATCCATCAAATGCGATCTGCAGAGCCACGCGCTGGATGACGAGTGTCCAGCATACGTCGCTCTTTCGTATGCATGGGGTGCCAAAGAGCGATATGACGATATTCATATCAATGGCATGTCTTTCAGAGTCGGTCGCAATCTGTGGCACTTCCTCCACCAAATGCGTATGCAGCGTCAGGACGCCGTCTTCTGGATAGACGCCATTAGCATCGATCAAGCGAATGTACTCGAGCAAAATCACCAAGTGCAGATGATGAGGGAGATCTACACACAAGCTTGCTGTGTGTGGATCTGGCTTGGTGAAGCAGATGATGCCACGTTCAGCGACGTCGCGATGCAGTTTTTAAAGACGCGCGTTGCTTTGAATGGCAAAGATGTCAATACGAAGAAGTTATGGAATGCTCGTAAAGCAAAAGCTATACTAGGGTTGTGTGAAAAGGAGTACTGGAAAAGGATCTGGATTGTGCAAGAAGTTTTACTGGCGAGAGAGACAAAAGTTCTATATGGCGGCCATTGCGTACAGTGGATCAAGATACAGCAGCTATTAGCCGACCTCCAAGCCATTTCGGACAGAGGGAGAGCTCTTCACGTCGTCGGCGTACCAGCCGTTCTTGATAGTCCAGCTGCAATCATCATCAGGGCAAAAGCGCAATGGAACGGCGATCCTCAACCTCTCACATTACTACTCGAACGATATCATAGACAGCATTCAACTGATGTCAGAGACAAGGTTTACGCCCTTCACGGATTGGCAAGTGATAACAATACCATACCCATCAACTACAGCATCGAACCAATAGAACCCCTCGTACAGATTATGATCCACTACGCATGCTCGCCGTTGACGTTCAGGATGGATATCAGGGTGTTCAGGAAAAACTTACTCAAATTTTCAAAGTTGATGCGAGAATCACTCAAGGTCTTTTGCGATGAGGAAGAGCTAGTTGACCGTCTCGCAGAGGCTCGTCGTAGATACGATACTTCGTCAATGCAGCCGACCCCATATTGGATTTCCCAGCTTTTGAACTCACAGACGCCAGCGGCGAGGAAACCCTTCGTAGCTGGAGATTTTGGCGAAATAGAACTGTCAGGGTCGGAAGAGACCAACGTGTTCTTGCACGCTGAGCCACAGTCTCAGCCGCGGTCCGCCTTCCATGCTTCTGCACAAGCTGCAGACAAGAATGGTGGCGAGGTCTCTCGCAGAAGAACGGCAGCGATTCTCGGGAAACGTAGGAAGAGATATTCGTGCCGCAAGGACGGCTGTCGTAGAACTTTCGACAGAGCTCTGGACCTGATTCGGCATATGCGAACGCATAAAGACCCTAGGCCGAACTCCAGACTGAGTTGCGTTATGTACACCTGCAACTACCGCTTCGACCACAAGGACCAATTGCGGATCCATGTGTGGCACTCTCATCGATATGTATTGCGGTCACCGTATCTCTCGGAGAAGATGTTTGACACTTCACTTCGCGACAATCTGCGGGCACTCGAACTATGCTAGATACATCCAATGGCGTGTAGGGCAAAGATGCGTGCGCCTGTGTACTCGAAGCTGAAACTTATCGTCCTTGTATATACATCTTAAGAATACGATTCTAGGCGAGCCGCCAATGTACCCCTTCACGAAGATTGTGGCGTCCAGGTCTTTTCTAACTCGACACCCCTCTCACGACGCAGCACCAATCCCCTCACCCACCGGACAATTCGGCACATCCCTCTGCCACGCAACCTTCGCATACGCCGGCAAATAGCTATTAGTCGTAAAGCTCTCATCAATATAATACTCCACCTGACTGAGCGAAAAGTCACCCCCAACATCAGGCTGATTTAAAGCGTCGACAATGTAGCTAGCGATAAAGTCCAAGAACACCAGATCAACAGTCTTTGGCATCGATCCATCGAGCGGGAAGGACGCGTTCGCCTGGAGATCGTTGGGCTGGGAGAAGTTGGGAATGGCTGAGTGAACGGTGTCGTCGCCGTCGGTGCCGAAGTCGTCTTTGGTCGTGTAACCTGGGTTAGGGGCGGTGGATTGACGGCGGATGAGACGGCCGCCTTGCTTTGAGCGGCGGGTGACTCCTTCGTAGTGGTGTGTGATGGGCGGGTCGAGGCACGTGTCTCTGTCTGCGAGGATGGGGCTGAAGCCGAAGTCGGAAGTCTCAAGATCGCGCTTCTTCTTCTGGAAGGGACCGGCGTTTAGTATGCCGAGGACTTGAGACGCTTGCTCGTAGGGTACGTTGGGGATGAACTGGAAGGCGTCTTTGAATGGAGAGACGATGAAGGAGTCGTCGTAGGTGAAGGGGCCTTTGGCGAGGTCGAAGCGGACTGATCCGGTGTTGATGATGATGAGTCTGGGAACGTCTTTGCGCGTCTCGTTGACGACGACGGTGGCCAACGCGGTCTGGAGGAGTCCGAAGATGTTGCCTTCAGCAAGGAATGGCTTGCAGTACTGACAGTATGTCGCTGGGGCGCATCCATACAAATCAGTCAAGTTGAGCTCCGCTCGCTCGGAAGTGATCTCGTTAGTAACGCTGACACCGGCAGATGTGTCGAACGCGGTGTAGCGTTGACTTCCCTTAGCATGATAAGCGAACGTATTGCGGTTCCAATCAAGGTATCTTCGCGCGTAGCGGAGGGTGGAGTTGGAAGTAGACGTAGGCAGGTGTGCACTAGCCGATGCAGTCCCAGTGCTTGCCGGCACTACAGCGCTGCGTGTCGGATTCGGAACACCTTTAGGGTTATGCTGCGCCTTGCAAGTCTTTGATTCGATACCAGACATGGCAACCCAGCCCAATGTCTCGCAGTAACGACCTGGGACTATGTTAGCCACTTCTTTCAAAGCATGTCTAGAGTACATACCAGACTCAATTCCTGTAGCTTTGTCGTCGTATACGGCAAAGTCTCGGATGTGGGTATGTCCACCAAAAGCTTGAATGGGTACGTTTGGTTTCATGCTGCGGATGGCTTTGAAGACAGTGCCCATTGTACTGGAAGAAACGCTGGTGCGCACCGGGTTGTGGCCAGTGATTACGAACAAATCGATGGGCTCGGTGTAGTTGACAGCCTGTTGGAACCACGGCTGCTTCACCATGTCGGCTGCTTTGATGACCTTGGAGACGTTGCTGTTGCCTGTGAAGTCGAAGAGGACGCCAAAAGCCATGATGCGGAGCCCTAGGTCTATCAGCATATTGGTATTTCCACGATTGATCGACTTACCCTGCTCTGTAGTGAAGTAGCGGTAACGTGATCCAATGTACTCGAATTGGCCAGTGGTGGGGTTCTTGATCTGCACATTGCTAGTGAGATACTTGTCGCCATAAACCTTGGAGAAGTTGTTGAAGGTCTCGTAGGCGATCTCGGTAACATAAAGCTCGTGGTTTCCAATGGTCAACAAATCATAATCAATATTTTCAAAAATGGCGTTCGAGACGTTGCCGTTAGGAGTCGTCGCATCGCTGAGTCCAGCACCGTCGTGCAAATCCTATCGCAAGTTAGTCGAAGTGCTACTTCCTTCAACCACGTGCGCAGCCCTACTCGTCCCCAGGGCTTGATGGCAGACACTAACCCCTGTGTCTACCAGAAGCAGATCGACGCCTAGATCCCGAGCCTTCTGCTTCATGTGCTTGGTGAAGCTGGCGTAATCACCCCAATCGGCCCCATAGTTCTGTTCCTTGATGTGACCTTCCAGCCATCCATGGGTATCCGTGGTATGCAGGAAGTTAATCTGACCCCATTCCAGTGGCGCTTTCGGTGTTGTGGTCGCATTCTGCGCGTCCGGCTGCATGCGACGAACGTTTCTGGTCAATACGACATCATCTTTCAGCGGCCCGTAGCAGCTGTTATGACCTTCGCAGGCTAGCGCCGGTGCTACTGTCGCGATGAAAGCGCCAAAAGCAAGAGACCGCATGATGGGGACCGGATGAATGACAGCGCGTAAGGATAAGCGTTCAGGGCGTCATCTTCTTATGTAGCCTCATGGCCGGTACGCGTACGTGCATCGCCGCTTCGGCTGTCTTACCCATGCCGGCAAGCAAAGATGCCCCTAGGGGCGGAAGCGGCAAAACCGCACGTGTAACAGTCATTGGAGAGAAAGATAAGCTTCGGCATGGTCGTGGACAAGCCATGCCAAAAGGCTTGATCGAGGCCTTCTCCTTCCTGTTGGGTGACAAGCGCGACATTAGCGTTCCGAGGACCGGGGCGTGGCATCGCACCTCTCCGATGGTTCTTTCCAGCCATCTCCCGTATCTCCACGTTATCATTCGCCAACTCGCTTTCACCATCCTGTTCGGAATGCGGCTCGTACCTGATACTCTTGAGAAGCTGCTCGATCGCGACGATTACTCAACATCATCAATGTGTGCAATACGTTACAAGTCCTGGTATCTCGCTGGAAGACAAGAAAACTTTCCTCTTTTAGATTACTCCCATCACGGATCTCGTGTTCGATCATCCATTCCAGGACTGGCTTTCTGTCACCATACGATAACCTTAGCATTTGGCATGGCTCTGGACTACACTACGGAGGTATCGCGGTGTGCCGCCTCATGACTTATCCCCGAGCTCCAGCACTGACTCAGGCTTCGTCATCTAGCGAGATCATTCCCGCAGCGGAATGAAGACCCCAGTAGACGGCCTTTCACCCCCTCCTCAGTTCTGGAAAGACATTGTTGTGGCTAAACAATGATCAGCTATGTGAAAGTACATAGCAACACTGCATCAACTACAAAGCAAGGTACCTCCTGTGCTATTTCACGCTCCAACCCAACTTCTCGTCACAATCCTCAATATAGCGGCTAGATTAACTTCGCAGTCATGGCCAACCCACGGTGTGCCACTTGCGGGACAGTCGTTGTCCGTCCGGATCCAGAACAGCCTCACCTCAACGCCAGATGGTACAAGAACCAGCTATTAGCTGACATTACCATCAAATACGGCGACCATGGTGAGAAGGAGTTCGTCGGCCATCGTCTCGTCCTTTGTTCAGTGAGTGAGTGGTTTAAGAAGGCATCCAAAAACTTCAAGGAAGCCAATGATCAGGTGATAATTCTAAAAGGCGACCATCCGGAAGGCCTAGAGGCTTTCTTCGAGTACGCGTACAAAGAGGAGTATCTCGAAACAGTCGACATTCCGGATGAGTTGACGGAGCTACGACAGCGGTTCATGCATCGTCTGCGTGTTTTCGCAGTAGCCGATAAGTATCAAGTGGAAGGTCTAACAGCTCTAGCCTATCGCCAACTCAAGCAGCTCGTGGATCTCTTTACTGAGCCAAGACGGACCTACGGTGACGAAGATGAAACGACAGCATCTGAGTTCTTCAGATTCATGTTAAGGCAAGTGTATCATGAAAGCGAGCGTTATTTTCCCGCTCTGCGGGACGACCTACACCAAAGCGATCAGACCGCGGAAGGCACTTCACAGACAGGCCCGTCTGAGACTGAGCAAACTAACTCCATATCTACTGAGAACGCTCCCGTAAGCGCTACATCTCAGCGGAACAACTCCGCGCGGCGGACAACATTCAATCCACCGAACCCACATTCAACCGAAGGTAGAAGTTCAACCCACCCTCTCGATCGCGTCCAGGATCTTCTTGTGGAAGGGGCCATGAATGCCTGGGTCAACGCGCATCCGGACTTCAATCGTGAACATCTTGTGCCTCTTGCGCAAATGTTCCCGGATTTCGGCACGGATCTCGTTGTTGCAGCGCTGAAGTCGTCGCGCATAGAAGGCATGCCCGAGTATCTTTATGAAGACGAGGATTACGCTTATGACAGTGATAATGACTGGCTGAGGGCCCACCACGTCTTGTGAAATCAGGCTACCTTGCAATGGAGATGGAGACGGGTATGTAGGCGCGTAGCGTAATGACGCAATATATGTACTGTTGAATTGTAAACAAATTCGCGATACTGTTCTTGTGATGCGACACGTTCTTCTCAGATCTGATGCACCTAATGCGCTGACAATGATAGCAGTGCGCGTGTCGAAAGCGATGGAGTGAAAGTGAAGTTGGTCGAACCTTCTCGATGACGAGCTGGTCCGAACGCGACATGCCACTTGAGCCCCGCAGTGCTGCGGACAAGGTGCAACCTCGAAGCACAACACAAACATCCGCCGTAGCACACGACTCAGACCTCGACCACGATGGTAATCAACTACAGCAAGTGGGTGAGTCATGCGCTTCTACCAGTGTTATAGACGCAGCTTCTAACAATCTTCCAGGACGCCTTGGAGCTCTCGGACGACAGCGACATCGAAGTGCACCCCAATGTCGACAAGAAATCCTTCATTCGCGCCAAACAAGCCCAGATCCACCAGGAGCGCGACCACCGCCGCCACCAAATAAAGACGCTCAAGTACGAGCGCATCATCAACGATGGCCTCACCGAACGCGTCGACCGCCTGCTCACGGCACTGAAATCGCACAGAGACAAGCAGGCAGAGGGAAATGGCCAGAACGATGACCAGCTCGTCTTCCAGGCCATGATGGAGAGCATGATGGACATGAAGATTGACAAAGACGGAGGCTCAGACAGGCCGCCACCACCGCCAGAGGGCGTACACGAGCACATCAAGGACAAGCCCACATACCCGCAGATGATGGCGAGCTTAGTAGACGCAGTGAAAAAGGACATTGACGAGCAGAAGAGCGAAGAGCCGCGATACACACTATTTATCCAGGGTTTAGAGAAGGAGAAGGCGCGCATACAAGATCTCCAGCAACAACTCCTCGCCAAGCTCGACGAGCTGGAAAAGGAAGACAAGAAGCACATCACCAGCGACGACATCCACGAAGGCTTCAGCTACTCCAACGTCAAGAAAGCCGAAGAAGAGAAGAAGAAAGCCGCCTCATCGTCCTCCTCATCGAAGAAAGAGCCCGCCGTCGAACTCCTCAACAACCCCTCCCGCCCCTCGGCCACCCGAACAGACACAGGCCAGTCCTCCGGCGCAGATGGCGACATAGAAGAAGGCAGCGTCGCCGAGCCCACCGGCGCCGGTTCCGATAACGAAGACGACATCACCGCCTCACCCCTCGCCCAGCAATTCGCGAAGAGAAAAGCCGGAGACTGGTACGCGTGCCTCCAGTTCCTCATGGCGCACCCGGAGATTCTCGCCGAGAAGGAAACAGACGGCCTCCTCGTCGAAGCCTTCAACTCTGAACTCGACGGCAAGCCCAAGCACGCACGGCAATGCGTACACCAAGGCCTTCTGTTACAATACTGTCGCCAACTAGGTGGACGACAAGGCGTAGAGCTCTTCTTCAAGCGCATCCAAATAAAAGACCACCAAGCCGGCAAAATGTTCAACGATGACGTCGACTCAACATACCACCGCATCAAGACTCGCGCCGCTGAAATCCTAAAAGAACGCGCCGAGAACCCTTCATCCGAAGGCGCAGGCGTCGAGCAAATCCAACTCCACGCCGTAGACCCAGGCACCCAAATCAACATCTCGGTGCCCCCCAAAGAATCCAGCGCCACCGACCCCGCAGAGAAAGAAGCAGAAGAGCAAGCGAGACAGATCTTTGAAACCTTCCCACCGGGCTTGCAGCGCGCGTTGGAAAGCGGGAAGTTAGATGAAGTGAACAAGGTGCTGGCGAAGATGAGTGTGGATGAGGCGGAGGAGGTGGTTGAGAAACTGGGTCAAGGGGGCATGTTGAGTCTGGAAGAGGGCGTGATTGACGCAACGACCGAGGAGGGGCAGCGCGTTATGGGCGAGATTGAGAAGAATAGGAAGATGCCGGGTCAGGGACAGGCGCAGGAGCAGGGGGCTAGTAGGATTGAGGAGGTGGACTAGGGAGGGGATGGGTGAGAGTGATGGGCATGGTATCATGAATTATGGGAATGGAAATGGTATGGCATGGTATGGTATGGGATGATGGGTCCTGTAATTGTACATTATGATTGATGATGGTATCTGAAAATAACTGGTTTTGAGCAAAAATCTTAGATATGTCGTCTGATTGTTCCGGTAGCTTTGCCTTGGATCCCGTCCACCATCTCCCATGTTAAACCTGCAAAATTCCCACTTCACCTATGCTGAGACCCCGTCAATATCGTACATCGACCCTTAAACCCTAGACGCCCTGTGCAGACTAAGTTGCAAGCCATGCGGTAATAAATGCCACTCCCGCGCTACAACGTATCCATTTTAAAACTACCATTCCATGCATTGCCTGCCCTAGCAATTTCTTTCAAGAATATACCACGAATTGTAGCTACCGCCGGTTTCCCAGTGCCCTCAGATCAGCTCAGCAAAGTTATCGTCGATGCCAGCCATATCCCTGTCCCCAGCAAAAGCCGCAAAGTCATCCTCGCCAGCATTTCTGCTCATCTTCCTCTTCTTATGCGCATTCTCGTACGCATGATGTTGTCCGTACACACCACCTTCAGCACCACCCATTGGCGCATGTTGCAGGCTCTTGAGCAGATCGGCAGCTATGTGCTGGTTCGGCTCGCCGATAGCGGTCGCGTATTCGGGCTGGGTGGAGTGTTGCGCAGGCGCAGGGGCGGTCTCTGGTACGACGGGGTGGGCGGCGGGTTGCGGCATTTCGTCGTCGCGGATGGTGGGCACAGGGTCGTTCTGGGGCGCGGGTGCGAGGTGTGGTGAGCCGACGGGTGTGAAAGATTCCATGGGTGGGGGCGTGAGTTCCTCGACTTCTGGTCTTTCTTGCGCACCTGAGAAGGTGGCTGCGACAGGGGAGGTTGTAGCGACGGGGAGGGGTGCGGTGGAAATCCGGTTTTGCTCTGCCGCTGACAGGCCCTTGAGGATGGCTTCCTCGACTGCGCGCTTTCGGCTTTCTATAGCGTCTTTGCGCGTCTTGAGGTCTGCTTCCTGCGCCTCTTCGTCGATGAGCTTCTTCCTGTTCGCCTCGAGGAGGTGCTCTAGACCGGTGAGGAGGGCCTTGCGCGCCTTGATGCTCTCGGCGACGGCGCCTTCGGCCAGCGCAAGCTTCTTGCAGAGTGCTGCGAGTCCAGCTGCGTGCATGGGCGGAGATGGGATCGCGGCATTCGGGTTGGTGAGCTTCTCGTAGTCTTGGTTGGCGGTGGTGACGGCGGGCTTCGTCGCGGCATCGGCTTTCTGAAGCGCAGTTGCCAGAGGCGCGACCGGTGTGAGCTCAGGTGGGACTGACGAGCTCGAGAAGAGCGACCCACCTAGAGCAGGTTTGCGCGTAGATTTGGAGCGGTCCACCTCGTCTATCGACCTCTCCACCGCCTGCTGCACAGCTAAGTTGAAGATGTTGCGCTGCCTCCAAACCTCGACGACCCTTCGAATCTTGTTTTGTATCTCGTGGGGGGAGCCCTTGTAGGCTACTGTCGTCGCTTCGGCGAGAATGGGTTCGTATGCGCGCAGGAACTCCTCCTTCTTGCGCATCTTGGAGGTTTGTGTGATTTCGTTGGCGAGATAGATGAGCACCAGTTTCTTATTCGGGGGCGACTCCTTCATGCGCTGTAGCCATACATGAGCGATGCGCTCGGCATGTCGTCTGTACACGTGACGTTAGTATATGGTTCCAAAGTGCATGACAAAACTCGCAATCCATGGATTCAACGCGTGATGCATGCAGCAAACTGGGGTCTTGGCAGAGATGAGATGCTTTACCTGTGGAAGAGGATCCATTGGCCGACAGTGGAGATGGCCTCTTGAGTCTCATTGAGCGATGAGAGCTTGGCCTTGAGGCTGTCCTCGGTGAAAGCCATGATGGCCTGGAGGTCTTCACGAATATATGCGACAGCTACTGAAGAATGATGCGCACGCGAGCAGAATGCGATCAACTTGCAGAAAAGCGCGTGATGGCAGCAGATGGTATGTAGCCTTCAGCGTGCGATATGCGCTTTGCAACTTTTCGCGACTACAGTGCTCAGGTGATGACGTGTGTTGGGGATGGAATGGGTGGAAGAGTTCAAGGTGAGGGCACCTGGGAGCACTTGAGAGCTAGGGACGCTAGGTGCTATGCGGCTAAACGTGGCTCCGCCGCGCCAAGCAGCTCCCTGGCTGGCCGTCACCAACGGTAACTATCCAAGACGCAACAACAAGACACTTGTACGCAAACTGCTGTTGCCAAACTTATCTCCGCTCCTCCCACTCCATCCCCCACACCCTCCACACCCACAATGGCAGACCGCTTCCCCTCATTAGACGAGATTGACGCCGGTGAGCTCAGCTATGGTCCCCGAAGCACCTCCGCACCGCATACTAAACCAACCAGGCCAGACCGAAGCGCGCGGTGATGCGGCAGACTTCGACATTGGCGGCGGCGACAACGATGCCAGCAACTTCCTCGACCGTGAACGCGCGCTTCTTGGCGACGATGCCGACCAGTTTGCTTCGGAAAACGACAGGGCAGCGACGGTCGAGGATGGCGACGACGACCTGCTTGGGGGAGACTTCAGCCAGGCCAACGTCGGCGGCCAAGAGATGAGCGGCTTCGAGAGCTCCTTCCCCGCCATTGACACGACCAACGACGTAAGCACGCCTGCTTCTTTAGCCAAAGCATGGTTGCGATCTGGCATGTTCAAAAGTGACGCGCCAGTCGAAACATGAATTGAGCATGGAATAAACAACATCACGACGGTATACTGACTCCAGCAGCACATGGCTCCCGGCGGCACCATCACAGGCTCAGGCCTGCCCTTCCTCCCCGGCCAACCAGCCCCATCCTTCACCCCACAGCGCTCAGACTCGCCCGAGCCCGACGTCATCCGCGAATGGCGCGAGCGCCGCGACCTCCAGATTCAACACCGCGACGAGGTATCCCACGACCGCAAACAGAAAACCATCCAGGAGGCGCAGCAAAACATCGACGACTTCTACGAGAACTACAACAACAAGAAGGACAAGGAGATTGCCAAGACACGGAAGGAGGCTGAGGAGTTCCTTGCGAACCGCGACGACACCACCGCGGGTGGTACGAGCTGGGAGCGCATCGCCAAGCTGGTCGATCTGAGTGGAAAGGGCACCAAGGGCGGCGCGTCAGGCAGCGAGAAGGCCCGCTTCAGGGAACTACTGCTCAGTCTGAAGAAGGACGAGAAGGCACCGGGTGCGACTGGATACTAGACGGAACGATGACATGGGTAGATGGCTATCTTTTTGGGAGCTCAGGGCAATGGTTTGGCATACGAATGAGCGTGTCTACGGCCATAAAACTTGGAGTTCACGGATTAGGTTGCAGGGTACTTCATGCAGCTGTGTTAATACTTACTCTCTGATTGCCTACCATTGCTTGTGGTTTTCGGTCATCAGTCTTCAGCACGAGGATCATCGAGCAAGCACTTGATATTTGCTAATGTGGTTTATAGGCAGTAAGATGTTGAGCCTGGACATCTAGCATTCAGCAGTGTCGATCATCACTAATGGATTCTCCACTAGAAGTAGAGCTAAGTGCTGTCTTAAGAACCCTTAATACCCCCGATGTTGCCATCAAGTACAGCGATCCCATAACCCGATCTGAATACCGCTTTCGCACCCATATGCATGTTCTCTGCGCTAACTCGGTGACGCTCAAGAGAAAGTTCGACTCCGGAGAATACGTAAGTCAATATAACGCCTACTCACCACCCACTCCTGTTTAGGACCATGTAACCATTGCATTCTCTAACATGCTCCAGAATGTTGGATCTATCATCACTATCCCTCCTGGAAACGTACAAGCCGTCGAAGATATGATACGCTTCTTTTACCTCCAGACCTACAATCCGCGTCTTCTGCCCTCAGCCCCCATGTCTATGATGCAAGCACGAAAGCGGGAAGCGGCTCATCACGCTGCCGTTTACGATCTCGCACGTCAAAAGAGTTACGGTGTTAGTGGTCTGTCTGGACGTGCTCATAGGGCGTTCCAGAATGGCGCTGATGGCGCTCTGGCCTGGCTGGACCAACCGGCAAACAATACGGCAAAGAACGCTGTGAGACTGCTCCGCATGTATGTCAACCTGATCTACGAGAACGATGACGAAACTTGGGAGGTCTTTCAGGGCCAAGATATACCGGATATGATCACGTTCTGGCCTCTAAGAGGTTTGGTATGCGAAACTGTAGCTAGGATCTGGGTGAGAGCACAGCAATGGAACGCGACGCCGGCTGCTGGTCAAGCTGCGGCCCAAGGGGAAGAAGAAGTTGAAATTGATGCCGGGGACACAGGTCAGGATGTCGTGAAGAAGGAGCTCGCGAAGTTGTGCTGGAAGTATGCGCATTTCGCACAGGACTTTGCAAGGTGGATGTTAATCAAGGGAGAGGTGAGTATCACATTGGGCCACAATGTCATGGGAAGGACTTGGTAGATGGTAGAGGTATGCGGACATGCGCTTCCAGAGTATCTAGGTTGAGTAGAGTAGCAACAGCACCATCTAGAGACTCAACGCAACAACCACCATCTGATACAAATCCAAACAAGCAAACAAAAATCGCGACTTTCGCAGGATTCCCATCCCCACGGTCCAGCCAAAGCCAAGCCCTTGACCAGCCCATCGCAATCTAACCAACGGCGCCATCACCAAACCCTCACCAACCCCGCGGGCCGCATCGCAACAGTCCCGCAGCACCAGCAATCTAAACGTCGTTCGACAATGCCATCTAAAGTGTGCATCGTGACACCACATCGACCGGCAACCCGGCTTTCCTCTATATAATGACTATATTAATTTCTCCGAAGATGCAGGATGGGGCCTGCCCTGGTACGGCACTTGGGTAAACGAACATCCGCAGATGCCCAGGTGTAATATCGAATCTGAGACAACCACCAAGAAACATCTAGCTGGTGTCCACCAATTGCGTGAATCGCAAGCGTAGGTTGATTATTGAACATGTTCTGTGCGTCATGTTTCACAAAAAAAAAGGTCGAGACGCTTTTTAACTTTTCCAACGCGGACGAACCCGTGCCCTACCACGGCACATAATCAACGCCAGAACGAGACTGTTCTCCCTCACGAACAGCATATGATGGCATTCGATAGAAATATGACGTCTGACAAGAGAATCCACCATCAACTCATTTCGCTTACCTCCTCGAAGTTCCCTCAACGGGCCCAACGGCTCCTTCCAGCCTGATCCAGCCACGCCTCACAGCCTCATAGGGGAAACAGTGGAGCCGCCCAAGGCCTCGCTAGCGCGCCTTGATTAATCTACGCACCCTCCTTTCATGATCGCCCTCCAGCATGTGGCCATCGCCATGGCAAGCCAGTGCAAGTTTCAAACAATCATCTCGATGATTGGTGCCTTGGATCGAATCCCATGGTGACGCAACTGCGCTCCTGTGTCGTGGAGTAATTACCACCCGGGAACTACTATAAGACATGCAGCTACCTCTGTCAATCTATACTTTCGGCATCTAGGTCACTCGGTACCGGTCGTCTGTCTAACTCCATCGTCGTCTATTCACTCGTTTTTTTGTGTTGTTCAAACTTATAAGTCGTTCTCTTCTTTCTCTCCATCTTCGGATTATCAGCACGCTCGATACGCAGGACCGTATCTTCACAGCAGCAACACCTCCAATCTACCTTTCTTTGATACCCCGAATTTATCGAATCGACTCTACCATCTTCTTCAAAATGAAGTACATCACCTCCGCCCTCGCCTTCGCTACTGCCGTCGCAGCCCACGGCTACGTCAACAATGCCACCATTGGCGGCAAAGAATACATCTTCTACCAACCATACCAAGACCCTTACATGACGGACGTGAAGCGCATCTCACGACCGATCCAAGGCAACGGCCCCGTTGAGGACGTAGCCATCTCCGACATCCAATGCGGTGGCTACGCAGCCGGCGGTATCAACGGCTCCAAGCCCGCTGCTCTACACGCCGAAGCCGCCGCGGGTTCAGACGTCGAGCTCTACTGGACGCTCTGGCCTGAGAGCCACATGGGTCCTACCATCACATACATGGCCAAGTGCCCCGATGCCGGATGCAATGACTGGATGCCTGAGTCAGCGTAAGTAACCCACCTGACCTATTATCCACCACCATGATATTAACACCCTCACCAGTGCAGTCTGGTTCAAAGTCCAAGAAGACGGCCGCCAAGGCACCTCTGACGTCTGGGGCTCCGACGCCCTCCAAGTCCCCGGCGGCTCCGTCACATACACTATCCCCAAGTGCATCGCACCAGGCTACTACCTCGTGCGCCATGAAATCGTTGCTCTGCACGCCGCGTACCAGTACCCTGGTGCGCAGTTCTATCCTGGGTGCCATCAACTCAAGGTTACCGGAGGTGGATCAACGAAGCCGAGTGGCCTTGTTGGTTTCCCCGGTGCGTACAAGGGTAGCGATGCCGGTATCACTTATGATGCCTACAAGGCGGCTACTTACACCATTCCTGGCCCCAAGAAGTTTACTTGTTAGATGGGTGAAGGTGACTGAACTGGGGACTCTGAGATAGGAACCCTGGGATGGGAACCCTCAAGTACAGTACCCTGAGACGGGTAACAAAACGCTTCTTTGTATATATTTGCAGTCGTATATAGCTGTCGTCATGAATAGATCTCTGCATCACAATTGAAAACACTTGTGTCTGTTCGTTCTGCATCGTGTCGTGCCGCGTAGTTGGTTCTTGTCGTAACGCTGTTTGCGAAATCATCACTTCGTTCGAAAAGATCCAATGTTATCGACACTTGCGCAGACGCTTTATCAATCGCAGGGGATAGCTGGTCGTTGCAGAATTGTGTGCATGCGTGACCTTCGCTGTTGCACTGCGGTCCCTACAATGGCCGTGTGCTTGCTTGATGCGCTGGTAGATGCAGCGTCGCAAAGCGCATATTATCGCATCGAATGTGTCGAATTCCAAGGGTGCAATGCAATTAGCGTCTGTATTGCAGTAATGAATATCCTGGTGTAAGATGCAGTCACGCCGCTGCTGAGTAACTATTGCGTTTGATGGCCGCGGTTTAGGTACTTATCCTAGCCCTTCTGAGTCCATAGCATGCCATCGAAAATGCTGACGAGCGTACCAGGCAGGTCTTCGACATCCGTTGTGTCCCTACTGCGATGTCTTTATGGCTGCCTTCGGATTTCGTTGCAAATATCCTATCTCGACATCTGTGCCGCGGACGTCGAATAACTCTTTCTTTTTCCTGACGGCGACAACTTCCCTGATTCCGTCTCGTTCACTCCGCGGAGGCAGGGCACTTCCTTTTATCTTGGATGTGGGCTCAGAAATCTGGTCAGATGAACAATCATCTCGGGCCTTCTCTGGTGCTTTTGCGCGTGGAGGGGAAGCGTTCTCACTTCCCCGTCAGCCGTATATCCGCCACCCTTACGTGTCCGACCCTGATTCGCACTAAGGGGTCTGCATCTTTCATCTGATTGTCAGGCACCTCGGTTGTGCATCTTTATCAGATGCGTGTACCAAAGTGAGTGCGATCACGCTTACCACGGTACTGACGGGTGTAAAGCCTATCTTGGCCACCAGTACAAGATGCCCTTGGATTGGCTGCTTCGTTTTGGTTCTGCGTTGTCGATGTCGGCCTTACCTCGTACTATGAATTCGAGGGTGTGAGCGAGAGCGGTTGTAGATGACTGAAAGCGGTAGCGCCCAGTACGATCGGTGAGGTTTGATCAGCGCTGTGTGCTGTCGCATCTGCGAAGACGCATCAAGGTCAGCGAAACCTGGAGGTCGCATCTTGGTGTTGAACGTGGCTAGTAACCCTCGAAGGATATGGGGAAGAGCGCCACTTTCCGGTCAGTCTAGAAGGATGTCTTCGGCTACTATATCGAAAATGGTACACCGTCTGGAGGTGGAAGCAGCCCAGCGTGGGCTTGCGCCAGTCTAAGTGCCAGGCTGATCGCCGGCCCTAACGGACGGGTCCGCACATGGCTTCGGCACTATTTTGAAACCGCCGAAAGGAAGAGGTACCTTCTGGAAAAGATCAGAGATGTCAGGTTCGCTTGGAGAAACGAGACGAGTCAGCAAATGCCCGGACAAAAGGCGCATGGCGTAGATGAAGCAGGAACTTCTGACGTCCTTTCTGCGTAGTGTCGGCGATGCTTCGAAAAGGCAATGGCTAATGCGATTGCGGTTGGAATCGCGGTCAAGGTGATGTGAAGAGCAAGCGGTAGTCCAAGGGCTTGCGCTGCAGCTAGCAATGCGATGATGCCCACAGTGGGCCCTAGACGCCGGTTCTGCTCCTTCCCCGACTCACATCTGCGCCGTCCAAGCTAACCTTCGAGTGCTAACACGCCCGACAGCCCGAAACAGAATGACGATGCACCCATGTCGTCTGTGATGATCGATGAGGCAGCTGCAAGCGATATCGGTATATTTCATCGCAGAGCCTTGGAGCCTGAGGATCTTCATCTTACGACGCATCGTCTTCCGTCGTAGCCGTGAACGCTTGACAAACGTTAACGACCAGGGATTCTGGTAATTTGTCCAACGGCTCTGCTTCGTGCTCAACTCCGTGCCAGGCGGACTTAGTCGAACAGGAAGACCCTGGAATTAGTCGATGGGTGAATAGCCGCGAGCTTCCACCGCTCTTTCGGATCTTGCCAACACTCCTAGATGTCTAGCGAGTATTCCATATCCTGGCCTTGGTACCATCATCATGATCACCTGGCCATGTGCATACTTAGGCGACGCTCCTGATCCATGCTTCGTCGTGGCTGGTTGCAGAAAGACGATCCGTGCTGCTGTTTAAATCGGGTCCTCGAAGATATGTGGCGCGCACCAAGGCGCGCGACTAAGGCACAGTTTGAGAGGTGCAAGAGGCCCAGCGCAATGGTAATGAAAAGCAAATCTCCGTACGGCGTGGGCGATCTGGTCAGGTTCGTGTTACATGTGCATTGGTTGTTGCATGTGTGCCGGCGCAGGCATGTCCACGGGTGTCGCTTATGCTACTCGTCTAGGCAGGATGACACAACGCGGGACTGATTTCTAATAAGCTGTCGACGAGACTCTCGTTCTCAAAGTATATTGTTAAGTATACTTATCTTGCTACGCGTTTATTATATAAATTATATATAATTACTAATTATTTTTTAGTATTAAAAGTAGTAGTATAGTATTATAATATTACTTCTTAAATAAGTAGATAGTATCTAGTACTATAAAATAAATAAAAAATTTAGTTAATAACTAAAGTTTAGTAGTAACTTAAATAGTTATAATAACTATAAGTAAAGTTTTTTTAGAATACTTATAAGTAGTATAAAATTTTATTTTACTACTTTTATTTAAACTTTATTTTTAAATTTTATTAAAAATACTACTAAAAATACTATTATAATAGATTTTATATTTATTAATAGTAATATTATTTTTATTATTTATAATAGTTTTAAAACTTTA